GCATAGGGTTTTCAAGGTTTTGGGTTAATCTTTACGGAAGCAGACTGCCACGTTTTTCTCCTATTGTAGATAGACACTGGTAAGTTTGAACTGCTAACCTTTTGTTTAGCAGCTGAGTGCTTAACCACTGTGCCACCAGGCCTCCTTACCTAAAACTTAGTGGCTTAAAATAATGAGATTTATTTTGTACTCAAATCTGTAGTTTGAACTCGGCCAAGACAGTGTCTGCTACATTTAGTACCAGCTGGATTGGCTGAAAGGCTGAGGCTGGATTAATCTGAAGGTTCATTCATGTAGCTGTCAGCTGAGAATTTAACTGGGCTGTTAGCTGGAACCCACACGTGTGGCCTGGGCTTCCTTACCACATGGTGGCTGGGTTCCAGAGGCAAGCAGAAAAAGCCAGGTAGAAACTATTACCTTTTTTAAAACATTAAGGTGAAATTTATATAACATAAAATTAACAATTCAGTGGCATATGGTACATTCAGTGTTATACAACCATCACCTCTGTTGTTGTTGTTATGTGCCGTCGAGTCGGACCCAACTCATAGCGACCCCTCCTTGGGTTTCACTACAGAAGTAGATTGCCCCATCTTCCTTCCAAGGAGTTCAAACCCACCAGCCTTCTGGTTAGCAGTCAAGTGCCTTAGGCACTATGCTACCAGAGCTCCTACCATCACCTCTATCTAGATCCAAAACATTTTCATCACCCCGGAAGAAAACCTCTGCTCATTAAGCAGTCCTTCCCCATTCTCCCCACCCCCAACCCTTGGCAGCTACCAATCTGCTGCTGTCTTTGTGGATTTACTTGTTCTGGATATCAGATATAATTAACATAATCCAGCCTGAATTATATTTGCGTTTATACCATTAGGGAGCTCTAGTGGCGTAATGCTTAAAGCATTTGACTGCATACCAGGAGGTCGGTGGTTCAAACCCACCAGCCACTCCTCGGAAGGGAGATTGGGTGATCTATTTCCATGGAGACACAACCCCAGAAACCCAAGCAGGGGTCGTTATGAGTCAAAACTGTTAAGGAGCTCTGGTGGCGTAGTGGATAAGGCATTTGGATGCTAACTAGGAGGTTAGCAGTTCAAACCCACCAACTGCTCCTTGGAAGGAAGAGGGTGCAATCTGCTTCCATAAAGATTTATACCCTCAGAAACTCCGTGTGTGTGTATGTGGGGGAGGGTTTGTTATGAGTTAGAGTCAAGTCAATGGCAATGAGTTTGGTTTTTGGTTTTATACCATTGTTGTTGTTATTTGCCGTCAAGTCGGCCCCGACTCATAGCGACCCCTCCTTGGGTTTCCGAGGCAGTATCACTACTGAAGTAGGATTGCCCAACCTTCCTTCCGAGGAGTGGCTGGTGGGTTTGAACTGCCAGCCGTCTGGTTAGCAGTCAA